ATGTGAATCAACAACCCTCATTCTACTTGTATCTTACACATGGGCTACCTCAAAAATTCATTAGCTTGCAAAGCAGTGGTTTATCTTAATTTTCAAAAATTGCTATGTTTAGAACAATTCCATAGAAAAGCTGGCGACCCCCAAATAAGCCAATATACTTATATTGCCCAGTAAAATTTATTGCAGAATGAATAAATTCTGGGTATTTGCATTTTTGAGTAATAATAATTAACTAGTAAAGTGTGATATATTGCACTCATTGCCATTTCATTTTGTGTTGCCTGACTCCTTATCTGTATCCTTGTATCCTTGCTCTGTGCTGTTATGCTTGTTTATTTGATGTTTCCCAGGACTATGAGAAAACCCGACAAGTGTATCAAGCTTGCTTAGAACTCATTCCACACAAGAAGTTTACTTTCGCCAAGCTGTGGTTGCTTTTTGCACAGTTTGAAGTCCGACAGAAAAATATCACACATGCCAGAAAAATCCTGGTAAGTATTATGAGGATGAGAAACCTGGCAAAGCACACTGTGATTGGACTCACTACGATTGAGACCTACTGAATTAACACCTGATTGGTCACTTGGTTGCAACAAAAATGTGTACTTGGGGACACTGTGACTGCAGAACACTGAGTGGGACACACTTTGAGTGAAGTTGATGATATGAATATTTTAAACTTGAAGCAAGATCTTTTATGGCAATATTCAGATTTGTAACAGGTCTATTTTGTGCAAAGTGACAATTGGTGGCTATGGAATTGAACCGTGCCAATGCACCAAACCCTATAACCACTGTATTAGGTAAAGAGTCAATACACAAAAAATATAGCCTTTATATAAGGTGTGCCCCATGGTATATGTAATGAATGATACACACACATGTCATACAAATCATGTAACTTTTGTTTCCATGCTTTGCAATGATTTACAGGGAACCTCAATAGGAAAATGTCCAAAAGACAAACTATTTAAAGGCTACATAGAATTAGAACTACAACTACGAGAATTTGACAGATGTCGGATACTGTATGAAAAGTTTTTGGAATTCAATATGGAGAACTGTACCACATGGATGAAGGTGAGATTGCTGAAGTTTTCAACTCACTAATACGGCATTCAAGGCCACTGCAGCATTCAAATGTTTGTAGAAATAAAAAAAAATTGTTCCATGGACAAAATTTCGAGACGTATAAACAATATTTATCTTTACTATTTTTTTTAGTATTCAGAGCTAGAAACCATTCTTGGTGACGTGGAGAGAGCGAGAGCCATTTATGAACTTGCTATAAACCAACCTAAACTGGACATGCCAGAAGTGTTGTGGAAAGCCTACATAGATTTTGAAATTGAACAAGAAGAATATGACAAAACAAGAGAGTTGTATTGTAGATTACTGGAGAGGACGCACCATGTTAAGGTAAATATCTGGTTTTAAAGTTACTTATACTTTAGTATCTTTCACACCACTGACTCTTCACACATTATATTGCAGGATCTGCCTAAAGTGTGTTGCACATTTTCCCCGTATTACATCATTATGTCCAGCAATCATGCATGGCATTTATGGTTCTGTCTCTTTCATTCATAAGGTCTGGATAAGTTATGCTCAGTTCGAAGCCTCAATCGGTGACGACCACTGTATTGCGGCTTCTAGAAGTATCTATGAACAAGCAAATAAAGCACTTCGGAATGACGAAGAGAAAGAAAATCGATTGATGCTGCTCGAATCTTGGAAAGAGTTTGAGGTACAGGATGTAAACTGAAAGTCTTTTTTTTCTCTCAAGGACTTATTAAGATTAAACGGGACTAACTGGTATACTCAATATATTGTCACATGTGGAAATTTTTCTGATGCCTGAATTTAATGGCTAATTTGTAGCAGACATTAATTAATTGAACAGCAGCACACTGTACGACTGCATGCATTCAAGATGGGTCCCATACTACGCATCGCAACATAAATGCATAATTCATTTACGCAATTAAGACATTTGAAAACATGTGCAGTTGCGACAACCAGTGCTCTCTAATATACATATTTGTAGTTGTTTTTTGGCCTCACTTATTCAGTGCGTTTCTTCATCTTTTCAGATAAACTGTGGTGATGATGACAGCTTGCGGCGAGTACAGGATCAGATGCCAAAGAAAGTTAAGAAAAGGAGAAAAGTACAGACAGAGGATGGGGTAAGCACATTCAATTCGCGGCTCGTCCTGTGTGTTTCTCATGTTGGTTCAGATAGCTATGTGAATAGACTACTGACAATATCTCTAAACGTGATAGAATCTTATCTACTTATATTAGCTACACAGGCAGTATTTATATGTGTAGTTGCTGGTGAATCATTGACATGCATATCAGATCAAAAATTAAAAATTTCATATCAGAAAAACAAAATCAAAAATTTGCTGCATTATTAGCTCAGGCATTTACGTAAATTACAGAGGTATTTATATGGTCAAAATATTATAATATTTTAATGATTCAGTATACAATAAATGCATTTTTTGGTTTATATGCGCTTTTATTGGTAATGTGCTTGTAATAGAATAAATACAGTACATGGTATAGCGTATTCAGATTTATTGTGTTGTAATGAATAAGAAAGAAATATTTGCATCAGCAGTTTTTATGCAATTGATGTTTTTTTCTTGTTCACAGTCCGATGCCGGTTGGGAGGAGTATTATGACTATATATTCCCAACAGATTCTGCCAACCAACCGAATCTTAAGCTGCTAGCAATGGCCAAGAAATGGAAGCAAGGCAACGCATGAACAATGTAAATAGCAATCGTGTAACGACTACAATGACACCATCATGCAGTGTGGTGCCTATATGCAGGCATACACATGATTGGTTTACTGAAACATTGGCAGTAAGCCCCGAGATGGCAGAAGACAATATGGAAACTCTGGAGTTTATCGTGTAGAAATGTCAGTGGAGAGGAAAAAACAGCGGAAATTGTACAATTCTTTGAAACTATTCTGCAATGAACTAGATTATTAGACATACCAGTAGATGTGTGTGTGTCCAGCACTGTCTCCACATTTCTCACGTCATTTATTTTGATACTACTGCCAGGCTTTTCAATTGTATATGTATTTTTTATTAACAAATAAATGACACAAAATGGTGTATTTAACTCAAAATATTGTCATAATGAAATGATGTGAAGAATACTCATGGGTGTAGTCATTTGGTTTTTAAAGCTTTGCTGTTATCATAGATGACAGAGCTGGTCATATATTTGATGATTTTGTATAGACATTCCCACCAGCATGATTGATTTGATATGATGGTGCCTAATCGAAGCCTGAAAGGGGAGTACTAGAATTACTTTCTTTCTCATGTCCAAGTTTCTGCAAGTTATCTCTCACATTTTCTCAGGAACTCTGCAGCAGACGTCAATGAAACTTGGCTGGTTGATGAACAAGTCTGTGTTACATATGCACGTAATTTTTTTTTCCAGATCTGAAAATTCTAAGTGGTTCTTTTTAAAGATTTTCATTCCAAATTACCTCTCTTTACTACACTGACAGAGCCACTGAGCATGCTCAGAATAATAGATTCTGTTAAATTCAGATTCATGAGTTCCTGATTTCTGATTCACAAGTTTGATTCACATGTATTCGATCGGTAGTGTATACTTTTCAGAACTCAATTTCAAAAAAGCTTTCTTATCATTGGAAGTCATCTTCTAGGTTATTAATATGACCTCACCCTACCCAAAAAATATGCAAATTAGCTAAATCCAGTCATTTCCTTTGATCTCAGCAACCATTGAGCTGATTTCGTTCATATTTGGTATGATTACACCTTGACACGAGTAGATGTGCTTCTGACAGTAATTACCACGCCCTCCCAAAAATATGCAAATTAGATCAATGCAGTTATTTGCTCTTATACCAGCAACAATTAGGCCAATTTAGTTCATATGTGGTAGGATCACACCTTGAAATGAAAAGATGTTGTTCTATGTACAATGAATACATTTTAAATAATAAACCTTACTGTGTTAATAACAAATTGTATTTGACAACATGAAAATGATTCTGATGCCCAGTGGTGATGTTGAAACAAACCCAAGTCCTGGTTATACTAAGACCTAAATTAACAAAGAAGTTATGTACATCAAGGTTTACTCAGATTAATGAATGCAGTTTCTTGAGCAAGTATACATGTATGACACTGTTGCACTTGTGTACTCTGAGATTCTGAACATGGGTCAGTGGAAGTTTTTAGTTGTCAGTACAAAACTAGATTATGGGAAATCACTTTATGATGAGTTGTACCCACATAAATTACATATTCATTCACCTGTTTGCAGGTGAAGGATTTCAAGTGCACTTTAGTATTGTTTGAAAATATGGTTTTATGCATAGAGTTTGTTTTCATACAGCAGCAGCCATTCATATGATTGATACATGGATCAGGTTTACCAGTGACAACAAGTGTTTTCATCAGTTATTCAAATCCAAAACACATGACTGAAGGTCGTATGTCTTTAGTTGTGTCATGTACACGATTGCAATTCACATGCTGAGGGATATGTGGACTTCAGTGTCGGATATTTCACACTGAATCTGCCTTTACATATTTAGTATTGGTGGTCATTGAAAGTGTTACTGAATGTATCGTTGACATACAAGTGGTCATTGCATTCAACATTGATGTATTCAGGGCAATTGAATGCATTTTCTGTCAATTGAATGTATTTTTACTGAATGTATTTTTGACATTCTGTTCACTGAATGAGTGTATTTTTACATTGGTAATCATTGACATTTCTGGTCATTAAATGTATCAACATAATGGTCATTGAACTATTTGGTGGTATTTGAATGTATAATTGACACATTGAATGTATTTTTGACTTATGGTGATTGGGTTTATTTTTTGTGTTGTGGTCGTTGAATACATCTTTGACATATGGGTCGTCATTGAATGTGTCTTTGACATATTGATTGTCTTTGAATGTGTCTCTGAAATTGTCATTGAATGCGTCTAACATATTGATTGTCATTCAATGCGTCTTTGACATATTGATGGTCATTGAATGCGTCTTTGATATATTGGTGATCATTGAATGCGTCTTTGACATATTGGTGGTCATTGAATGCGTCTTTGACATATTGGTGATCATTGAATGCGTCTTTGATATATTGTGATCATTGAATGTATCTTTGACATATTGATTGTCTTTGAATGCGTCTCTGAAATTGTCATTGAATGCGTCTTTGACATATTGGTGATCATTGAATGCGTCTTTGACACACTGGTGGTCATTGAATGTGTCTTTGACATAATGGTCACTGAATGCGTATTTGATATATTGTGATCATTGAATGCGTCTTTGACATATTGATGGTCATTGAATGTGTCTTTGATATATTAATGGTCATTGAATGCGTCTTTGACATATTGGTGATCATTGAATGCGTCTTTCACATATTGATGGTCATTGAATGCGTCTTTGACATATTGGTAATCATTGAATGCGTCTTTGTCATATTGGTGGTCATTGAATGCGTATTTGTCATATTGATGATCATTGAATGCGTCTTTGACATATTGGTGATCATTGAATGCGTCTTTGACACATTGGTGGTCATTGAATGCGTCTTTGACATATTGGTGGTCACTGAATGCGTATTTGATACATTGTGATCATTGAATGCGTCTTTGACATATTGGTGGTCATTGAATGCGTCTTTGATATATTGGTGATCATTGAATGTGTTTTTGATATATTAATGGTCATTGAATGCGTCTTTGACATATTGCTGGTCATTGAATGCGTATTTGTCAGATTGATGATCATTGAATGCGTCTTTGACATATTGATGGTCATTGAATGCGTCTTTGACATATTGATGGTCATTAAATGTGTCTTTGACATATTGGTCATTGAATGCGTCTTCGACATGTTGATGGTCAATGAATGCGTCTTTGACATGTTGATGGTCATTAAATGCGTCTTTGACATATTGGTCATTGAATGCGTCTTCGACATGTTGGTGGTCATTGAATGTGTCTTTGACATATTTGTGGTCATTGAATGAGTCTTTGACATTTTGGTGGTCATTGAATGCGTCTTTAACATATTGGTGATCATTGAATGCATCTTTCACATATTGATGGTCGTTGAATGCGTCTTTGATATATTGGTGATCATTGAATGCGTCTTTGACATATTGGTGGTCATTGAATGCGTATTTGTCATATTGATGATCATTGAATGCGTCTTTCACATATTGATGGTCATTAAATGTGTCTTTGACATATTGGTCATTGAATGCGTCTTCGACATGTTGATGGTCAATGAATGCGTCTTTGTCATATTGATGCTCATTAAATGCGTCTTTGACATATTGATGGTTATTGAATGCGTCTTTGACATATTGGTGGTCATTGAATGCGTCTTTGTCATATTGATGGTCATTGAATGCGTCTTTGACATATTGATGGTCATTGAATGCGTCTTTGACATATTGATGGTTATTGAATGCGTC